GAGATACACGAATAGTCATACTTAGGGAAAAATTTTAATTGAAGAAGGGTGCCGTGACTAGGAAAAGTTTAGGAACCATTGCTATAGAGAATACAATACATACGTCTAATTCTACGAGAAAAGCATACTTTTAAAAAAGTATACTGTTAAATTGCCTGGAAATTGTTTTCAGAACCTGCGCAACATTTGGGAATATACCAAGTCCACAGTCCGACTTCTATGACAGGGGTCTTAAGACATGGTGCGTACAATTAAGTCGCTCAGACGACACGACCAATTTGCGTAATCGAGGTCATACCATTTCTTAAGTCAGCTACTTCATCGAAACCCACGTTTGCCTCGTATATGTTAGATAGCCCTTATTTAAGATTCGCTGATAGTTTCGATACTCACTTTGTTTGAATTCCAAATTACTTTACTTGAAGCGACACTGAGACTCTCGACGCGACTCTTTACTAACCCTTAGGCTGTGGGCATCAGAAGTTATGTGTGAGGGACCAAGTTTTAGACTTGGTTTTAAAGGAGCCTATCTCTTTCACTATTCGCTTCGGCAGCATCACTCTTCTCTTCGAGTCCCTATTGGCCGTGCTCGACCGACAGCCGTCGACACAGACACCCGGTCAATCTACAGGACGACCTGTCGTGTATCTGGATCTGGCTGGTTTCACACAGACCGCTCATGCCACATACTCTTCCGATGGCCATCGGCTCGTGTGATAGCCGGGCCCAACTGCTATTGCTGTTGGGTTAGACCGGTGAAATGAGCTGTAAAAGTGTACCACTTCCTTCCAGCCCCGTTCAGACCACTCCCTCTACCGGCACGACTTGACGCCTGGCCAGCCTCATGAGAAGAGCCGTACCAGCCGTTCCAGCAAAAGCCGTGCTTCTATCCCTGCCCAACCAGCCGGTAATTGAGGCTGACTGCCGGCCGGTCGGCAGGGCAGAAGACCAGGCAAGACTTACTAGTCCCAAGCTGAGAAATTATTTATTAATTGGTACCGACCAGCTCAGTCTTCGAGGTGAAGGTGTAGAGCAAACCGGCCGCCTACCTCCTTCTTTCCTCCTCAAACGGACATGCAAGTGCAGCCAAAGCTGAGAAAGTGTAGACACGATGAAAGTGAAGGGTTGTAAGAGTGGAGGTCGTAAGAGAATGCGGGCAACAGGGAGGGCAATCGGGCGACTGTATGCACAGGCCTAGACCCGCCAGAGCCAAGCCCCACACGCAAAAGAGTAGAAAAATAGGTCGCCGTAGAAGAAGACGGCATCCGTCGTGCAGGTGAGACGGATTTCGAGAAATTAACTGCACTCCTTTTGTGTACACATTGTTGGTTTTAATCACAGCAAATGCGACAGACGAGAGAATCACTCTGAAGAAGAGCAGAAGGCTTGCCCAAACGAGAGCTCCGACGTAGGCCATTTGCGCGTGACCGTGTCCACCTGTAGGAGGCCCTTCTCTAAGGACTCAGGCAAGACAGGCTGACGAAGGTGTGAAGAGCAGTGAAGAGGAGACTGTGAAGAAGAGCTATTCTATTGCATAAGTCATGAGACCTGACAGGCTGATGCAGAAAGCAGACTACAAGCTGTTATTTTATGAAAATGCCCACTTCGATACTTCGTCAAGTTGACCTTGTTCTTCCTTTATAATTAGGTTTTCGAGGCTATCTCTTGACCAGTTATGTATGAACGATATTCACCCTATTCCGCTTAAGTTGATATGGCGACTGATAGTTGAATTTTCCCGCTATGATTAGAATAGAGATAATGTTTCCGTTGAATTTCACACAGCTCTCCTTTTCCAAAAGGTATGCTTATGCAGGGTGGACTGCAGCTTCAATCTTGCTTAGATCTTATCAACACCCCCAGCGGAACTCGAACCATGACAGTGGCGCGTATTATCTAGACACGTTAGTTGTCATGGTTTGAGTCCCACTGAGGATGCTGATAGGACCTAGGCGAAGTCGAGACGGCAACCCAACCTTTTGGGAAGGCAGGCTACGTTAAATTCAGCGGAAATGTCAACTCTACTCATATCATTGTGGGAAAATGCTACTTACAGTCCTTCATCACCTTGAACGAAATGGGGTGAATACCTCTCATATAACTGATTTACTGGTAGTCTCGAAACTCTACTCCAATACGAAAAAATAGTAGTTCAATTTTCGCAGAATCCGATGAGTAGGCCTCGTGGTTACATTGAATTTTGCAATGCCTTGTTTCCCAAAAGGTATTCTTAGCCAGGCTGGAATTGACAGAAGCTTTAAATTCGGGTTATGATAGTTCAAGGTATGGCCATGAGACATTACTACTAGGCCACATTTCCACGAGTGTCCTCGGGTCGTATGACAGACATGAAGTTAAAACAAAGCCGGGACTTTTCCATATCAGCGTCTTGGATGGGATTCTAGATTAAACAAAGCTTTATTTGCTATAGTGATTGACATTCTACACTTTCATAGTTCGACTCCCGATGCGACGTCGAAATAGCAGTCCAACCTGGATGAGAACAACTTTTGGGAAAGCAAGGAAATGTGAAATTGAATGGAAACGTCAGCTCAACTTATATCATTGTGTAAAAATTCTTCTTCTACCAATCCTTCATCATCTTAAACTGAATTGGGTGAATTCATCTCATATTACTGATTTACTAGTAGTCACGAAAAACATTACTTAATTCACAAAAAAAGTATTCAAGTCGATTGTTATAGCAAATATACGTTTGCATCATCGACAATTCCACCAAAAGAATATGTTATGGCAAAAATGCCTG